ACACGCTATTAGCAACTCTACCTCTCCTTTCTCTCTGGGTCCCTCTATAAGAAACATAATTATCAACTCCTCCTCCTCCTCCTCCTCACTCCGTCTACCAGAGGTTTGCCTCCTCCATCTGAACGTGACACAGAGTGCTAGGAGCTGAAGGCTTTTTTGGGGGGTTCAGGGGACAAACAGGGAAGGCCTTAAAGGGCACATATTATGCAAAACCAAGTTTTTAATCTTTTGATTCTGTACATTTGGGACTGTGGAGGGCCTATCAGCAGGCAAAGTGTGAAAAAAAAAATGACTAAGTCATGTTTTTGTGGGCTGCCTCAGTCTGAATCCAGGAGATAAATCAGGAGGTTTCAGGAGTGGGTAGTTTCTGACGTCACTAGCTCTAGCTCATTATAATATTATTATTATTATTATATTAATATTATTATATATTATCTAGCTCATTATAATATTCCAGCCTTTCACCTGCATGTTGCCCCCCCCCCTCAGCTTACTCCCCTATCTGTGGAGACGTTGTGGTAGCGTGAGCATTAGCATGGTAGCGTTAGCATGGTAGCGTTAGCATGGTAGCGTTAGCATGGTAGCGTTAGCGTGCCGACGTGGGCACACCTCCCGGAAGAAGTGGGTGGATTGCCTGTGTCTCATTTGCATTTAAAGAGACAGGCACTCCAAAGCGAGTGCTCTGAACGGGGCTGTTTTGGGTTAGGGTTAGGGTTAGGGTTAGGGTTAGGGTTAGGCAGGGGGACTGAACTGCTATTGGGCTTCATCCTTATGGGATTTTGACCAAAGCTTGTCACAGACATTACATTAGCACACCAGGGAACTAGCGGTTCTGATAAGGAAATGGGAAGCTAATGATAGGAGCGAGGCCCGTGTGGACTCCCACTGGACTCTGCTGTTCTTACAGTATTTCTGTGGGTTTTTTCTGGGTACCAGTGGTGGGCCGTCAGGACCTGCAAGGCCTTCTCTATTGGCCTAAGAAAATATCTGAATCACAGACTGATGTTAACTATATTTTGTCCATGATTAATATTAAATATTTCCAAATGGTCTGTCCGCTGCCTTTCATAGCTTTTCCCCTGGTTGTGCTGCTTCCAGACATGTATTTTCATATTAAAGCATTTAGCCAATCACATTTCAGCCATCACTTGTTGCTAGGCAGGGTCAAAGTCCATAATTTAAACAAATTGACTTTCACGAGGTGCTTGAAAGTGGGATTTATAAAAGAGAAACTGAGTGTTGGTGTGCGTACGCGTGGTTTTAGAAACCTGGATTCCTTTTGGTGTCCGACATTTTCAGCTTTTGGGGCGTACACACACTTCCAGTATAGATCCCAACAGTGTTTTCTAAATGAGACTCCAGCCTGTTATTGACTGTTGGGGCTAAGGCTGCTGAAGATGGGGCCCACCTGTGGCGGGTATCGGGTGTTGTGTGTGCCTGATAACGCCCGGTTCTTTACCCAATAGGAGGAGTTGGGACCTATCGATCTAACACAGCTTTTTTCACGAGCTGTTTTCACCTGTTGCTCTGGGATGTTGTTTGCTAATAGCAGTTGCATTTTTTAAACACTGTCTAAAGCAACAAACGCTCCAGGTTTCATCAGTTTCCTCCGGCTTGAAGGCAAAAATTAACCCTCTAATGCCAAATGTATCATATTTGATTCATACGGTTTCTGAAATGTTTTGCGTCTGTCTCTTTTTGCATAATTTAATGGTAAAAACTTTGCTCAAAATCCTATTGTACACAATCAGATACACCTGATAACAGGGGGCAGAAGACTACGCAAAAAATAATCCTGACTTATTGCATAGTAATAAATTATTAACATTAAAATTGTATTTCTGTTTTTTCTTTTTACATATTTTATTAAAAGGCCAAATAAGGACTTCAAACCAAAAAAAGTAATTTTCTGTTTTGTTTAATTCTTGGATCGGGCTTTAAAGGGTTAAAAGTGGCCTCCTGCCTCCCAATAGGCTGCAGTCACCAGCTACGTTAGATGATGGATAATAGAAGTCCATGTCCATTTTTTTCTTATTTTAGACATTTTTAAAGATACCACACAATTGTGGATTGTAATATTACATTCTGATAAATGTATGCATTTAGCAAATGTTAAAAAACTGAATAAAAGGGGATTTTTAAACACAGAAAAAATAATAAATTCAGGTTACTTTTGTTCTTTCTTGACTTATGTCCATTTCTTTTCCTATTTTAGACATTTTTAAAGATAATCCACAATCGTGCATTGTAATATTACATTCTGATAAATGTATGCACTTAGCAAATGTTAAAAAAAAACAAATAAAAGGGGATTTTTAAACACTGAACAAAGAACAAATTCAGTTTATTTTTTATCTTTCTTGATTTACTTAACTTCAAGTATTTGTTGTTTACTAACGTCTTCTGTCAAGTTAGTTTTGTTCTCTGCTTTTTATCTCCCCGGTGTTGAGTTTATAGTTTTACCCTTGTTGGAATCATTGTCTCACAGATATTGGACCTGATTATCTGAATAAACAAGGACGGATGAAAAAAGCCGGACTTTTGTTAAATTTTTTTAATGTTTACAGCCGTTTCTGCCCCCCTGTGAGAGCTGCACTATTACTCAGGCCAGCAGGGGGCAGTAGGGGGCCGGCCCTCAGGTGTGAGAGGAGTGGTGGAATTAGGGACGATCATGTGTTGCTACAGGAAATAAAGAAATCCCCGTCCATTAAAACGGATAATCAGAGACACCCTGTTCTTCTGACACCCAGAGAACTGCCCCCCCCCCATTAGATGTGGAGGGGAAAAGTCACAATATATACAGTGGGGGAAATAAGTATTTGACCCCTTGCTGATTTAGCAGGTTTGCCCACTTACAAAGAATGCTTATTTATATATAACTTTAATCATATCTACATTCTAACAGTGAAAGACAGAATCCCAAAGAAAATTCCAGAAAATCACATCACATGAAATAATAAAAATTGATAACCTTCTGATGAGGAAAAATAAGCATTCTTTGTAAGTGGGCAAACCTGAAAAATCAGCAAGGGGTCAAATACTTATTTCCCCCACTTATATATTAAGAATAGTATCAATGTCAGTTTTACTTAATGGTATGTGGCTATGATGTGGAAATTCTGAAGCAAAAGTCTAAGTCTGTTTAAGAGAGTAAGAGATAGAAAATGTATTAAAGAGAAACTTCATGAAGTGAGAGCAACGTATCAAGCTGCTCCAAAGTAAAACAAAATCATAGTATTTCATTTTATACCCCTCTCTGAGCCCAAGAAGGGGGGTAAAATCTGTTTCCCATCATAGAGTAACCTGCACCTTTACCAAACAATCCTCCAGCCAAAACAGTAAGAGGTAAAGTATAAGGAGACCCTCTCTGAGACCTAGAAGTAGGAACGAGTCTCACGAGAAAGAAAAAGAACCTTTAACATATTCACTTGTGGAAAGTTACCAGAAAGAATAAAATAGAAAAGAAATAGAATAGAAAAGAAAATGATCATACATATATTGATTTCCCCCACAGGCTACAGTGGGGGAAATAAGTATTTGAGCCCTTGCTGATTTTGCAGGTTTGCCCACTTACAAAGAATGCTTATTTTTCCTCATCAGATGGTTATCAATTTTTATAAATTCATATGATGTGATTTTCTGGAATTTTCTTTGGGATTCTGTCTTTCACTGTTAGAATGTACATATGATTAAAGTTATAGATCGTTGCATTATTTGTAAGAGGGCAAACCTGCAAAATCAGCAAGGGGTCAAATACTTATTTCCCCCACTGTACGTGTAATATGAATTATTAAAACAACACTTCCACCAATTGACTCTCATTCAACAGAGCATTTCCACCCACAGAACGTATCATTTCCCTTCTTGGGCGCACTCAAAGTCGAAGTGCAGCGAAATAACCAATTGAATAATGTTGCTAGGGAAGATTAATAAATATTTAGCCAATCAGCATGGCCAAAATGAATGGCTTTGGGGCTCCTGGAACTGTTTCCCGTGCTACAGTGATACAGGTGATGTAGCTAGTGGTCAATCAGGCTGTGAGGTGGACATTATGAAGAGCAGCTTTCAGACTATTCAGTAAGATATTTACTGAGTTCTCCTTTCGTGGAAAAAATCCATGTAAAGGAGCTAGAACCTGACAAGCCCCAGATAAATTTAAGCGAGCCAATGAAAAAGCGAAGTCCAACAACCGGACTTTTAGCAGGAGTTAATGCACGTTTTTGTTTTTAAAAGTCTTGTACTTTTTAAAAGTGACCAGAGTGATTTGATGTCGACACGGTCTGGACAGACAGACTTAACCCTTCAAAGCCGGATCCAAGAAAAATAGGAAGAATATTGGATTTTTTTAGTCTGAAGTCTTTCTTTGGCCCCTCAACAACATATGAAGGAAAAAAAACAGAAATGATTTTGATCAAATTAGCGTGCAATAAGTCATATGACACATTTGGCTTTATAGGGTTAAAACACCTCTCCGAACGCATTAAGAAACATGAAAGATAAAGTTCATATGGAAAACCATGTTAAACTAACCGTGCTAAGCTAACCGTGTTAAGCTATCCGTGTTAAGCTAACCGTGCTAAGCTAACCACCTGTGGGCCTACTTTGTGTGTTTGGTGACAAATAGGGAAACTGAGTGTATATTTCATACTGTTCCTTTCCAAACTAAGACCTAATATAGCTGTAAAT